ACCATATTCCAAAAAGCTCCCTCTCAAAATGATATATACACCTTACTTACTACATACTTTTTGTCATTACCCATGCCAAGCTGCAATGGCATTAGGTATTAAATGCTGTGTGAATTTTTTTTAAATGACTTCTAATACTCAAAACTTAAGAAACTACAATATTTTAGTTTACAGCAGAAACCGTTGCATCGCGACTTCAATGTTCAAAGGAAATAGTTGGGATTTAGGTTTTTCTGCGACTTGTGGGCGGAGCTTGATACTAATCAGCCAATGATTGAACGAGTTTTCGAAAAKCTCCGCCCCTCAGATTGAAAGAAAGAACAAAATCCAGACAAACTTCAAAACAAAGAAGTCGCGATGCAACCATTTCCGCTGTAACATGAAATAATTAAAAAATATATCAAAAATGAATAATTGATGAAGATAGTGCCATCTGAGCATGAGCAGTAATCAACTTAGTTTCCCACATCCAAGCGCCACTATGTAAGTCTATTATGACTCTGCAATAACTACATTTAAACCCAAAATTTAGTCAAGTTATATGATGAGAGTCTAAAATTGAGAACTTTTCTAGTTTTGAGCACACATYGAGTGTCTGTAAATCAGTTACATGTACAACACTGATGTTTTATGCATGAGTGTTATAACTGAATTGGTTAGTTATAAAATATTTTGCTCATTGGAAGAATGTCTAATGGATAATTCATGAGTTTTAGAAGTAACCTTATAGTTTCATGTTCTGTAGCTAAATGTATAATTTTATTAACATGAGAAAATTACAATGTATAAATCATCTCAATTTTTGGGCTTTAGCACTCTTGCCTGGTAGTCATACAAATGTAATATTGTTGGCATTGATAATGACAGAGATCAAGCAAGCAGTAAACATCAGTGTAGAGCCAGCATCAGTGTCATGTTGACAATACAGGAAACCGACATGTATGAGAATAATCAATTTCAGATACTTGTACATCTACATTGTGGTACATGTACATGCATATGTGCAAAGGTTTACAGAATGAATGTAGTTGAGTAATATTTTGAATTTAATTTGCCATAGGCTCAGYATTCAACTGTCAGGATTTCATACATGCAGCAATACTCTCTCTGATTGGTTTATAGCCAAAAATAGCAAAATCCATAAGATAATAGAAAGAATTTTCAATTTTCAATTTGTTATTTATAACAGCATGTGGTGCAAGACATGAAATTTCACATAGACATCCACAAGTTTCCATTACTCTATAATTTCATTTGTATGTTTTTAGTGTAGTTGTAATTGCTAAACTGGGACAATATTAATCAGTGTAAAATAGTTTTTAGTCTAGTATTACAGTTAAAATAGAGATGTTTATTTTCTACCATGATAGACATTTTATGTATGGCCAAAAAATTTGAATCCCCCTTTTGCAATCCCTAAATTTTCAGATCACTCCCCCCCCCCTCCATAGTATACATAATGAATACAGCCTAAAACGTGAATGTTGTAAAAAAGCACTTGACACAGACCAACCAATAAAGTGTGAAAAACTTTGACTTGACTTTCTTGATGCAAAACTTTAAAAAATTTCCTTTTTGTCCAGGTATGTTTAATAAAGCTAAGTATAGAAGTAAGAAAGATAATAGTTCTCAAAGTTAATGTTCCAGGCAAAAGATCAGGTCAAAGAAACCTTGAAATATCTTCATGATATTCTCTTTGCATGAAAAGATTTCTTTCCTCTCAAAGCTGGTAGCCCATAAAAGAGACACAAACAATATAAAGAGCCTATATGGCAAAGCAAGGTCAGAGAACTGCTCTGTAATCAAAGGGTGTGGTTAAGTCACCTTGTTCTGAGCAAACATGTAAAAAATGTACAAGGAGCAAAACTGTGGATTGTAAGATATTGTTGTAGAAAGACAACAATTTATAAGGTCGTGTTTTGAATGCCATTTTATCATAAGATCTGAAAAGGTCTTGATTTTCTASATAAATGACTAGCTGACAACATGGTCGCAGAAGTTGCTGCCTTTGTCTTTCTCCATCTGCAAATGGTAAGATCTTCTCGTCCTCTC